AGTATTACAAACACAGTGCCCAAAAAGTGGGATAGGTGGGGAAAAGGAAAATAGTGCCTACCATAGAGGCTGGCTGAGGGCAGGAGGGAAACTGAGGACATTGGTGGAGCTAAGTGGACAGTGATGAAAGGGATTGGTGTTGGAACATGAAAGCCTGAATCTCAGTCATGAATAACTTATGAATAACTTTGCAATTTACAGTGATTCAATAAAAAAAATTTTTAAGAAGAGTTTAGAGCATCTCATAGTGCCAAAAAGTAAATAAATCCAAGTGCATGCTTGCAAGCCTATGCATAGTTTTCAGTATTCCAAACTAGAATAATTTGGGAAGCAAAATAAAATATCAGTGGGTTATAATTCAAATATAAAATAAATGTAAGTTCACAGTGATTCAAATAAAAGACAGATTATGCCAGCAAATGGACAAGAAGTTAAATATCCCATCCAAAGAATTACAAATAAATCATGTAGGTGCTCCACTCCAAAGAAGAGAGAGCATAAATTCCTACTTCCCACATTCCCATAAGTGTGGGTACCTATGGTTACAATCTTCCCAAGTGGAGGCTGGGATGAAGAAGGAAAAGCAATGGCGCAATGGGAACAGCCTGATGAGTAAGACTTCAATTCTGTGAGCCAGGTCACCATGAACAGTCATAAATCAGGTCGACAGTATGTAGCCATAGTCTCGGGTAAGGAGTGTAAAGCCACACCTCTCTGAGGCTCCTCTTGAAAATCCTTCAACCTCACTGAATCTTAAGGAAAACACAACACTGCAATGGAGCAGCATCCTTCAGGATGCCTCATTAGTGCACTCAGAACAAAGTCATCAAAAATAAGGAAATCTAAGAAATATTCATAGCCAAGAGGATCCCAGAGACGTGACACCAGGTAATGCAATATCCCCGTGGGATCCTGGGAAAGAAAAGGAACATCTGGGGAAAGTTATGGCAATCTGCCGGGGCCAGGAACCATAGCTCAGAGGGCTGGAGTACAGTCAGCCCTGGCACCAGCAGGCTCGCAGTGCAAGCTGAACATTACTGGAACTGGCCCCTGCAAATACAGACAGCCATACATGAAAGAAATTGTGTGCATGCTAGTTAATAATTACAGATCAGTTGTAGCTCATCAGTGGTAACAACAGTGCCTCAGTAATATCAGAGGGAAATTGCTTACAGAGCATATATTGGAACTCTATTATCTGCTCAAATTTTCCGTGAAAATATTCCAAAATGGAGCTGGAGAGGGTTCAAGAGATAGACATTAAGGTGTCTGCCTTGCCCGTGGACATCGTTGCTTCAATCACCACTTCACAGCACCACGTCTGACCCCTGAGCACCAGCAAGAGAGATCCCTGAACCCAGAGTAAGAAATGAACCCAGAGCACAGACATGTGTGGCCCAAAATACAAAAAGGGGGTGGGGGTTAGAGAGCGAGTACAGAGTTACGGTGCTTGCCTTGCACTGCATCCTCGGGCCCTGGTGCCAAACAACCCACCAAAGTGGATGGCCAGAGAGGGTGGAGGACCTGGGAGTCCAAAACATTTATTCTATAAAGTACAAGCTATGGAGGGCTAGAGCGATAGCACAGCAGTAGGGCGTTTGCCTTGCACGCAGCCAACATGGCCAACCCGAGTTCGATTCCTCCGCCCCTCTCAGAGAGCCTGGTAAGCTACCAAGAGTATCTTGCCCTCACAGCAGAGCCTGGCAAGCTACCCGTGATGTATTCGATATGCCAAACACAGTAACAAAGTCTCCAATGGAGATGTTACTGGGCCCGCTCGAGCAAATCGATGAAAGACAGGAGGACAGTGACAGTGACAAGCTATGGAAAAAAATTTAAAGCAAACATTTAGTCCGACAGACAGGTGTGCATAGTTTAATACAAAGTTCACCAAATCAGATAGGATTCTGAAAAAATTAAAAAAGCAAGCATATGATGACAGGAGGTAAGTTGCTTAGAAAGAGATTGTCCGTGTGGGGTAAGTGGATGGGAAAGGGCAGTGAGGAGGTTTAAAATGGGAGAAGGAAACTTCTAGAGGTCAGAGGTGTATTTGACATCTGGTCGGTGCTTTAGGTACATATGTATGTCAAAACAGCAAAGTGTTTATTTTCAAGACATGAAACTTATTATATATTATAAAAAATATTTTATTCAAAATACAAGCACCCCCCTACACACACACATACATACACACACATACACACACACACACACACACACACACACACACTCATCTTCCAGTACTGATTTGTCTTCTCCAAAAATATCTCACAATATTTGGGGAGTGATCCCATCACAACTGGATTTAACCTGTACTTTTTTTTCCCATAAAATAGCTATAACACAGCGGGTAGGGCCTTGCATGCGGCCTACATGGCCGGAAGTTCGATTTGTCCGCCCCTCTTGGAGAGTCTGGCAAGCTACCTAGAGTATCTTGCCTGCACGGCAAAGCCTGGCAAGCTACCCGTGGCATATTTGATACGCCAAACACAGTAACAAGTCTCACGATGGAGACGTTACTGGGCCCACTTGAGCAAACCGATGAACAACAGGAGGACAGTGCAGTGACAGTGCAGTGCATTCCTATATTTGAGAAATTCCTGTGCCAACAGAACTAATCGCCTGTCATTCACTTTTAGAATGGAGAATGCTGGACATGCAGGGATCTTTACCAGTGTTCCCCACTCCAGCAAGATTTGCTTGTCTTTGGGCTGTACTTGGCTGTGCTCAGGGCTTCCTCCTGGCTCTGTGCTCAGGGACACCTCATAGCTGACAAAGACGACCATGTGAGGAGTTGGACTCAGGTCAGTTGTGCACTTGGCGAGTTCTCTACTTACTGTACTCTTGCTCTGGCCCCTACAAGATTTTTGATTTTATGGCAACAACCTAGTGTGGCTTTAGGGAGTTTTGATAGCCAGTCAAAATTCATTCAACTATAATTAGTCAGATTTAAGTTGTAATCAGGTACCCATTTTGTGGCCACAGCAAACTGGACACAAAATTCTGATCCGTCTGCGATTTTCAAGTCCCACTCCTAAGAGGATTTTGGTTAGACTGCCTGGGTCCAAGGGTGCTTGCTACCTTGGCAGTGTCGGCAATTCTGTGCCTCTGTATTCTCCGATATAAAACGGGACAATGGTACTGACTTCACGGACTGTCAAGGAATAAACAAATGAACACAAGTACAGATTTTAGAAGACACCCAGGCCAGCCTGTGCAGATTCTGAAGATCCCTTGACATTCGCCATCAGGAAAACGTAAATCAAAATCACAGAGATGCAACTTCACACATACTAGGAAGACTTTAACAAAAGAGACCTAAAACGTCCCGTTCCTACATTTTGTCCTGTTTGCTGTCCTGTAATCATTCTCCTGTCCCCTAGGCTTCTCTCCCCTTGCCCTGCCTTCTGATTTCTATGTAACACTCTTTTGTAGGTATAAGCCAATTGCTGAATTATTGGTTGTCAAATCCAGTGATCTTTAATATGTTTACTTTTCACTCACCATTCCCAGATAATTCAGGAATCCAGAATCTTCTTGCCAGTGACTGCAACCCTGTAGGCTTCTGCCTTCTCCTTTATACTCTCTTTGTACTCTCAGAGTGGCTGAGAAACAAAGAGACATCAGGGCACAGAGAATCTTCACTTTGCAAATGAATGATTTTTCCAGGGGGCCTGGGAAAGATGGTGTAGGGCTCCACAAAGAGACTGCTAATAAGTTGTCATTCCAAGTAACTGTAGGAATCTCCCTTCTCTGCATTTCTCAAGAACAGAAGGGGCCCCTGCTTTAAAAGCACAGATGTGTGTACATACACATAGGTATACATGTAAAATTTGGGGGGAGGAGTCTCATACTGTTATCCCCAACTTCTAGTGGTGTTGAGGGGGCTTAGCAGTGCTGGGGGCTAACCCTGCGGCCCCAGCATGCAAAACATGTCCTTCAGTTCTCCACCCCAAACATCTTTTTTAAGAATGATCATGCTCAGGAGAGAAAATCCTTAATCTTGTTTTCTTACTAAAATAACTATCTTAAGGTAGGAAGAGCCCTATCTTAAGATGCAATGTGGCGTGTAAGTTAGAGCTAAAGGAAATTTTATGAGACTGTTATCTATTAAAGGTTCTCCTTAGGACACATGCAGGTAACACCGTCCAGACTTCTGCCCAAGTTTCTTCTGCCACGTGGCAACAGGCAGGGCACTGTGGGCACAGGGATTTGAATGGACTGGCTTTGGTCAAAGTCCCAAGGAAAAAACAAAGTATCCTTTTCATCAGGTAGGATGGTCCTGGGTACATTTATTCTAAATGATACTGTCTCCAAATGCCTCCGCGAGCTTTGCATCTTTACAGAAACTTCTGTTTCTGATAGAACACACCACCGGCCCTTGCAGGTAGGAAGAACATCCTTCTCCACTGACAGTGCGAACCCCACTACGCTAAGGAGGGCGCGTGCACCTGTATTCTGTGTGTGTGTGTGTGTGTGTGTGTGTGTGTGTGTGTGTGTGTTTGGGCTGTTCTAAGCTCAGAATGTTACAGCGTGGTGCCTGTCCACGGGGCGGGGCCTGGGGCGGGCCGGCGTTAGCTGTCACTCCGGAGCGAAGAGGGAGGCCCCCCGGAGAACCCGCGTGGATGGCGATCCGGGGCGCGCGGGACGTCCTCCGGGAGAGCCAGTTTCTCCGGGCAGCGGGGCGGGCGCTGAGGGCAGAGGCGCGCAGAACTGCGAGCGCTGCGAAGAGGACAGTGTCGGGCGCGGCGGCGCGGGCAGGACGCGGCGGTGCCCGAGCTGGGGCAGCGCCCTGGGGTGCGAGTATCCCAGCGCTCTGGGAAGAAAAGGAGAGCGAGTGCGCGGCGCGCAGCCCAGGACTGGAAGCAGCAGAAGGAAAGGTCGGTGGACGCAGCCACGGCTCATCGCTCTGCAGCCGAGGGCGCAGACCGGGTGCCCAGTGCCCGGACCCGTGAGTATCCGCGTGTCCGCCCCGGACTCTCGTCGGAGAACCAGTCTCGCAGCCACCGCTCGCGTTCTCCCCAGGCCCCCGCAGGGGCTGCGGGCACCGCCCCCTGGCCCGCCTGGAGGAGGAGATCGCGCTGCCCTGCCCAGCCCGGCCCGGCCCAGTGGCCGCTCTCTCCGCCCGCCGCCCCGGACCGGCCTAGACGCAGGGGAGGAGAAAAGGGGGGCCCGGGTCGTCATGACAGAGCTGAAGGCCAAGGGTCCCCGCGCTGCGCACGTGGAGGGCGGCGCGCTGTCCCCGGCCGCCGGCGCCTCCCCGCTGCCCTTCGCAGCCGGCCCGCCAGCCGCGCCCCTCTCTGTGGACGGGCTGCTCTTCCCACGCGACCCCGACTCCAAGATCGCTGACCGGTCCGCGCCGTCCAACGTGGACACTGAGTACCCCCGAGCCGAAGTGGCCGGGGGCTCGAGGCACGCCGAGAAGGACAGCGGACTGCTGGACAGCGTCCTGGACACGCTCCTGGCGCCGTCGGGTCGCGGGCACAGTCACCCCACCCCTCCCGCCTCCGAGGCCGCCAGCCCCTGGTACCTCTTCGGCCCCGAGCTGCCCGAAGACCCCCGAGGAGCCCCTGCCAGCCGGGGGCCGCTGCCCTCGCTCATGAGTCGGCCAGAAGCCAAGGGGGGCGAGTGTCCCGGGGCCGCCCAGAAAGCGCTGCCCAGAGGTCTATCGCCGTCCAGGCAGCTGCTGCCCGCGCTCTCGGGGACGCCCCACTGGCCCCGGCCCGTCCTGCAGCCGTCTCCACAGCCCGCCGTGGTGGACGTGGAGGACGACGACGATGACGACGACGACGATGAAGAGGATTCGGAAGCCGAGGCCGGGGGCGCCGCAGCTGGGCAGCTGCCGCAGGGCAAAGCGCGGGCTTTGGGGGACCCGCTGGCCGTGTCCGGCACCGCGGGCGCGGGGGGCGTTGCGCTGGTCCCCAGGGAGGACCCGCGCTTCGCTGCGCCGCGTACGGCCCTGGCGGAGGCCGAGGCGCCCGGCCGCTCCCCGCTGGGCACAGCCGTGGTGGACTTCATCCACGTGCCCATCCTGCCGCTGAAGCCGGCCATCCTGACGGCGCGCACGCGGCAGCTGCTGGAGACCGATGGACCCGACGGCGCCGGCCCCGCGGCGCGCGCCTCGCCCGGCGACCTCCCCGCCTGTGCCTACGCGCCCACTGCCAATGCAGCCGAGCCCCGCGACGACGACGCCGCCTTTGCGCTCTACGGCGACCCGCACCCAGCCGCGCTGAAGATCAAGGAGGAGGAGGAGGGCTGTGAGGCGGCCGCTCGACCCCAGCGCCCCTTCCCGCCCGCGCCCGCCGCCGTCTACACTGACCTGGCGCTGGCGCCGCCACTGCCCCCGCGCGCACCCTCGGCCCGGCCGGGGGAGCTGGCAGCGGGTCCCTCGCCGTCGGGCTCGGCGCTGGAGTGTCTCCTGTACAAGGCCGAGGACGCGCCGCCTACGCCGCCCGCGCCGCCACCCCCCTGCAAGGCACCGGTCGGGGGCGGCTGCCTGCTGCCCCGCGACGCCTTGTCCACCCCCGCGGCCGCGGGCCCCGCGCTCTACCAGCCGCTCGGACTCAACGGACTGCCGCCGCTCGGCTACCAGGCCGCCGTGCTCAAGGACGCGCTGCCGCAGGTCTACCCGCCCTATCTCAACTACCTGAGGTGAGGCGCGCCGGGATGGGGGTCCAGTAGGGGTCGGGGACCCGCGCGCGCACAGCCCGGCCGTGCCAAGTGGTTCCCCGCGCACCCCGCGCGCCACCTGGCGGGGCCGCGGCCGCTCCCAGCTCGGGCGTCCAGGGGGCCCGGGGAGGGAGCGGAGACAGCGCAGCCCCCAAACACTCGCCTAGGGTGGCCGCGCGGGGGGAGTGTCCACCTGGCCGCGCGTTCCCAGCGGTGCTGCCCCGACCGGGTCCTCTCCGGGGCTGATGGGGTCTGGGGGCGCCCCAGCTTCTCCTACACGCTGGGCGCGAACGCACGTTCTCAGCGAGCCAGGAGCGGCCGGGGGTTCGGGCTGGGATGTCCCGAGCGCGGGTCGGGTCGGGGCCGCGCGCAAAGACACAGTAGCGGGACCGGGGATGGAGGCCGGGAAGCCCCGACGGCAGCCACGCGCGCCTTAGGAGGAGTTTTCGGGGAAGCCTTTTGCGTTGGACCCACGCCCTCGGGCTGTCGCGGACGGAAACACAGTCTGGGGGTGCGTGCCTTGGTGCAGCCCCCTGGCCAGAAGCGCACCAGGTGGGCTCTGCCCGTCTCCCGGGGACTCAGTGGTCAGGTACCCCCTCCTTCCCGGTCGCTGATTGGCATTAAGAGGGGTCCTCTGTTTTGCCTTGAAGACCGGATGCAGAAGCCAGTCCGAATCCCCAGTATGGCTTCGAGTCGTTGCCCCAGAAGATCTGTCTGATCTGTGGGGACGAGGCGTCCGGCTGTCACTATGGCGTGCTGACGTGCGGGAGCTGCAAGGTCTTCTTCAAAAGAGCCATGGAAGGTGAGTGCAGCCCGGGCCCGAGCGGGGTCCCGCAGCGCGTCCCCTGGGTCCGTCCTCGGGACCCCCTCTCTGCCTGGATGCGTCCTCGGCACCCCCATTCTGCCCTGAATGGCCAGTTCCCTGGGAAACTTCGGAGCCCAATGCCATTGGCTGGAGTTTTCATTTTTAATATTTGAAACTGTGTGGTTGGACATGAAACTGTGGATGTGACAATTCATGCTCATCTTGGAAACAGTGCTACTATTTATTGCTCACTAATGATTTCACTTTAAAGAAACAGCTTTATTTACAGTTCTCTTACCTATATATAAAGTATCTTAAATGTCCATCGAGAGTAACCCGACAAAAGTAGTTGAAATCACATTAACTTATTTGTATGTGTGTGTTTATGTAATCATCTATTTGACAAGTTACAAATATTTGGCATGATTTGGCATTTTCTGTATTTATATAATGTCATTTCAAAACAAAGTTTTTCAATTTTAATACCTGTGTAAGGGGAAATAGGAATAAGCACTTAAATCACCACTATAAATTCTTAAGGACTTGTTTTGCTGTGAGGCTCTTGATTTTTTTTCTTTCTTTCTTTCTTTTTAAAATCAGTTAAATTGTAACATTGGTTTAATGATTTTTGGTTTCACTGTATAATGTATTTCAGACTTGAACTTTCATAGAAAACATTTTTAAATGTCCCCTTACACTAAACCCAAAGCCAGGCACACTTATATTTGAAGGGGAAAATGTATTTTAACATCGTTTCTACATTTGAATTCTATTGTTGATTTTATAATGAACTGAAATGAGAGTTTCTAGTGTTATTTTGAATGCTAAGATTGCACTTAGACAAGAAACTGAAGGCTCAAAAGTTTGCTTTTTTGCTTTCTGTTTTGATTTTTCTCATTTCAAGAGTCCTTCAGGAAAGAGGGGAGCAGTAGGGAATTTTAAACTTTAAGGACACTACCAAAGGAATTTGGTATACTGGCATATTCTTACCCAGCTCCATCCCACCCCCTTTTTACTTACAAATAAAGTTCAAAAATGTAAGTTTGAGTTTTTTGAGTGCACATGCTAAATATACTAAGTATTAGTCAATATAGGTTAGATATATTCTATAATTTCAGTGCTTATGATCAGAAATGGTATGCACTACTAGCCTAATGACAAATCCTACTTTAATTCTTGAAAGTTACTTCAAAAGGTGAACATATATGATGAAGAACACCCTAGCTGGAAACAACAAAGGCTTTCACATCCTTATTATTGGAATACTATCTAAAACTATTTTTCAAGTTTGCTCTTAGAACGCATTTGTGGGAGCCTGTTATTTTGCATGATCCTGATAGTCTTAAGTAGTAGCAATGAAGTGCCTTTATTTGACATTTTAACCCAAAAAAAGTTTAAAAGTGCCTTTATTTGGCATTTGTAACCCTCAAAATTTATGATAGGTGTTATGAAATGAGCAAGATTAAAATCTAAACAAATCATTTTCCCATTATCATATAGATTAACACCAAAGATTTCTTTGCCTGACTTCAGCTCCGCCTTAGGTATAAAATGAGGGAAATAGCAGTACCTCAGGATTAACGTGTGAAAGGTATTTAGATAGAGGGTCTATTCAGTCACCAGCTTTCAATTAGGGTTGCTTTTACCTTTGAAAAGCTGAAAATAAAGTTGAGAAATAACAGATGTATATGAAAACACATGCCTGTAAAATGGAGTCTCATTCAGGGCCCCAATAAACGGTGTTGTAAGTAAATAAGATTTGTGTAAGTTGGTGTATTTGGTGGGAGGCAGTAATGGTAGGGTGCAATGTGCATGCTCTAGGGTGATAAATGTCTTCATAGAATATGTCAACTGCATATGGTTATACAAGGGCAAGTGAGATTACAGATCTCTGGGTATTGAGGAGGATTTTTAAGTTTACATATTCAAAAAAGTGAGAAGATTGATATTATATGGATAGACTAGCAGGTCATCTTAGGAAATTATGAGTTAAAGGTTGGAAAGATTATATAATGTTCAGATAAATTGGGAATGTATCAGTGATTTAAGATTAGATAGAAAAAGATGATTCTGGCAGTTTTGAAAAGAGAGAAATATAACTGGTAGTACTTTCATTTGATGTCTGAGATATAGTAGGGCTGTGGGTTGAGCTGATTCAAAGATGTGTATGAGTGCCAAAATGTCCAGAACTTGAAAGTCAGCTTCTCTTGGTGAATGTCCACCAGAACTTGTGAAGAGTATATTTTGCTGCTGTTGGACATGGCTGTTTACAGAGGTCAGGTACGCCCAGCTGATTGAGGGTGCTGTTGAGTTTTATCATGTCCATCCTGATATTTTGTCTTCAAGAGCTTGTCTCTTTCCAAGAGAATTTTCAGAGCCTCCACTATAACCATAATTTATCTACCTCTCCTTGAAGTTCTCTTTTTTGGTCCCATAAAATGCGATGCTTTGTTATTAGACACACATATATTAAGTATTGTTATGTCTTGAAGAACTGACTCCTTTATCTGTATATATTACTCCTTCTTCTCCCTAATAATTTTTCTTACTTTGTATTCAACTCTTTGTATATTCAATTTTTATTCACAAACTCATGAATTACTTTTACTTTCATCCGAGCCTTATAGATGGAGAAAACTTACCTAATAATCTTTTGCACCATAATTTTTTGACAAATATTTGAGATTTTGAGAAGATATTAGCTAGTAATCATTTTTCTCCAGTGGAGTCTTATCTAAACAGTTTTTCTGTTCCCCTAAAAGTGAACTGGTTGCAAACCACTGAATTTTACTTCTAAATGCTTAAATTAGTAACTAATTTACTAATTATTGATTTTATAAAGAAATAATAAGTCAATACTGTCTTCTCATCCTGAAAATCTGTTTAATAATTAGTAGGGGCAGTAAGCTGGTTTTAGGCACAATATTACTTTACAATGCATTAAAGGAAATGTCTAGTTTACTGAAAAAGGAATGGATGGAAAGGGAGAACTTATTGTCATCTGTTCATCATTTTGTTGTGAATTGCTAATGCTTCTTCAGAATGTTTATCTTCACTCCACTGCAAGCACCTGAGGGGTCCATTGCACTGCATCAGGTCCATAATCCAGTGCCCACAGTAAGTGTTCCTACTCCTTCAGCCTTTGAGTTTTGTAAAGTGCTCAAAGTAATACAACAACAAATGCTTCTTTAAAAATTAAAACATTGCCAATAAGTCCTTAGATTGTATATGTGATATGTTGTATTGTTTTGGATTAGTTGTTATATAAATTACATCACATGAGATAATTTGTGTGCCATTTTCTATCTTTTTTTATTCTGCAATAACTTGAGGTATTGTCAATGTGCATGGTTTTTCTGGAATGTTCTTTTAACTATTGCATACTTTGTAGAAGAAGAATTTTTCTCAGTAAGGTATTTCTACATCACCATTACATGGGAAATCACTTTTTGAACTTGCCTCCTTGATTATATATACCTTGCTCCTCTTTCCATAATATATGTAAGTGTTTGATACAAGTTTTAATTAAATAGAGAATTTCTTTCCTCCATGCTGCTAACAAAATTTAACACTAGACACAAAAACTTACTTTAGACACTTAAAACTTGCTTGTGCTGCAACTACAAAGATAAATATGATGTGAGCAATTTCTGTTTCAACATACATAAAACCAAAAAGAAAAGAAAACAAACAAAAAAACCACTGTCATTCAATTAGTGAACATAAGAATATAAGGATAGGAGTTATGCTAGAGCCATGAATGATACATCATGGTGTTCATTTAGGCAAAACTAGAAGGGTTGGTCTTTGTTCTGTTAACGTGTCCTGATGTGTGAGAGGTTTATTCATTTGACAAAATACTGAGTGATTCTTGACTGTGGCCCTAGGCTCTAAGTGCTCACTTAATCAGTGTAGAAGCCTCGGAGGTGGAGGGCATATTACCTGTATTCCACTAATGAGGGTTTCAGAGAGAGAGAGAGTGCAGAAGACAGGGGCCAAGATTCCCATCTCGGGACATTTCACTGCTGCTTCTGTGTTTGGTACATTCCTGTGCTCCATCAGATCATTTTTACATTTAACAAACTGATCTCTTGGGATGGCTGGTTTTAGTATTGTGCTCCTCCATGCAGCCACATCTTTTCTTTAGCCTAGAACTCTACTGCTTATTTGGCTTGGGCCTTCACCCCAGATTTCACTTGAACGAAGAATGCTCTGCAAACTTTTTTTCCATTTTAAGCAGTCTTTCTCTTCTTTGCCAACACTTAAAAAATTGTCACCACTCTTGACAAGAAACACTTAGACCTCAATGAAGCATTTATTCAGGTACTTGAGTCAATTCCAAGTTTCTTTCCTTGCTGATACCTTTTTTGACATCTTTGCAGAGACAGGATGAACATTTGCTTAAGATTTCAAATTTAACTGTTCACTATTCTAATATCAATATTTCTCACCTTTTTGTCAAACTACAAGGACTTTTTGTGAGTAACTTCTGTAAAAGACTTCGTAAGAACATTGATACTTAAAACAGACTCCAAAACAGAACAGGCACACTGCTTTCTCTCGCATGAAGAAATGACTGCGGCAGTGGGGGTAGCCCTTGGTGGCCAGATCCGTGCACTGGTGTACAGGGTTGTGAGGAATACACACACACACACACACACACACACACGCATGCACACACACACACACACAGAGGTTAGTGCCTGAAGGAAGTGTGTGAGACAGATATGGAGTTGTTCTGGGGAACAAGTACCAAGAACCACATGTATTAGGAACCCTGTCATGGCTTTACGCTCAGTCTCTGCTTACACACTTAGAAAGTGGAGATAAGAGAAGAGATCATGTCTTTAACATAGTAAAAGCAACCAGAAGTTCTCAAAGAGATTATTTAGTTTGCCTGTTAAAATTAGGAAAGGCTGACTGGAGGGAGAGTACAGGGATTCAGGCGCTTAATCATTTCACCTGCAGCCCAGGTTCAATTCCTGGCACCACATGGT